CATAGATTTGAGTGGAAATATCTGCTTCATTAATAATATTTAAAACTCCATCAAACTAGGAGAATTAGTGTTATTAAAATACTTTTTTCTATAATTGCAGATTTTTTCAACATGAAATAAAAAAATTAGTTCCATATTAGGCTTTTATTAGTACTAATAATGATGATTGTGTTCTTAACAAATTTAACTTTTGCTACATTTGTTTTCTAAACAATGAATATTTAATCATTTTAATTGCTTTACCAAAGTTAAAATATTTACTTTATCATAGCATAGATAAAAAATATAATTTTATCAATTTACATGTATCCATAATTTACACGTGATTTACAATGATGCTTTTAAGCACTGAAATAGATTTGAAAGAACTGAGTATAATAGAATCTTACCATTTTTGGAAGAGGCAACCATTGTTTCACTTATCCTTGGTTAGCTCATTCAGCAAAAATGTCTTGTTAAAAAATGTTATTAAACTAAAACTGTTTGGCAAAATATATTTGAAAGGAATAAAATGCAAATAAAAAACAAAAAAAATAAAAAAGGCATGTCTTAATTCTTAAAATAATTAACTGTACTACTTCAGTTAGGATTCTCATACAAGCTCACCACATATATTTTCCAAATACTATTATGTATTTTGAAAATATAAGAAAATAATCAATCTTAAATCTCTCAAAGTCTGAATCATCAGATCCTGAGGAGAAAAACTTAAATTAATAATAAAAAATGTTTTAGTTCATTGCCTATTGAAATGTTTTATTTAATTCATTTCATTTTCATTGTAGAAATTCAAGTATATTTCTAAGTGGGAGTAAATTTTGTCTCTGCTGTTATCAAATGAGTTTATTGTGTATCACAAAAAATGTTACCAATTAAAGAAAACATGGACTTTATAACAATTATAATGTAAATAATGAACATTTCATTTTCTTTTTCTTCAACCAAAATGTTGAACTTTTTCTTCTAGTAAAAATAAGAAAATAATTAAAAAATCTTTTTTTATATACAATGTCTCTTCAGGATCTGTAGCGGGCTGTCCAGTGGCCCCGTATCATGGAAAGGGGTGAACGAGGTCACAAGAGGCCCGCTAACATTTTTGAAGACGTTAAATCTGACCGTGAAACAATATGGACGACAGAACGAGGATATATATGATATATAGAGTTTATTCTAAAAAGGAAAAGGAAATGAAGATGGTCGGAAACGGTGGAGGTGCTGGAGGTGCTGGATACTGCAGGAGGCGGATGCAGGGATGCGGATGCTGCAGGAGTGAGCGGATGCTGCAGGAGTTTTAGTGCAGGCATTGATGGTCGAGGTTGGCAGTTGCTAGGTTGGCGTTGGTGGGGGGTGAAGCTGATGTGGGTTGTTGCTAGGATGATCGCTTGTTGGTTGTTGATGTTGAGTGATGCCAGGATGATCTTTGTTGGTTGTTGAAGCTGAGTCGTTGCCGGGGTGCCAACTTGTTGCTGAAGTTCGTGTTGCCAACGTTGGTTGTCATTGCCGGGATGCCAACTTGACGTGTTGGGAAGGAAGAGAGAGAAAGAAAGTTCCCAACTATCGTCAAGTTGGCAGACAAAAAAAATGGGGGCGTAACTTAATACACAGCCCGTGATCGGCGCCCTTGGCCAATGAAGGCCAAGGGACCTGCGTGAACGACCGTTTCGGCCGCCGACAGCCTCCCCAAAGCTTGGGAGAAATCACTGTCTTGTGTCGAGGGGGACCAGCAAGAGAAATTGGCTAAGCTAACCGAAAAGTCTCTATAAAAAAATACTACAAGGTTAGCTAAAGATAACTAATGTCTAAAAATGACTAGAAGTATATTACAACTAGGTTTGTAATATAGCCTAACTAAAAAAGGGGATTTGCTGGTCCCTCTGACGTGTTAAGAGTGTGTGAGGAGTATGAATGAGAGGTCAAGGTCGAAATGACCTGTTCCTCCGCCGGTTCAAGGATGGAAGGAGGAGGTAACTCCGACAGATCTCCACAAGTTCTTATCTTTTGCAGTTCTTAGCAATTTCTCCCATTTCCTCTTCTGTCATCCATTTTTGTAAACTTGTTAGATAGGTTATTTGGTGTTTCACTCTGCCCCTCTTACCTTCATTGTTCTGTGAGTGTCAAATTCTCCAAGTCTTCTTTCATTATGTGTCATAGAAATTTTAACTGTCTCTTTCTGATTCTAAGTATAAGTGTCCTTTTTGTTCCCATTGTCCTTAAAACTTCCTTATTACTTATTGTTCCATCCATGGTATTCTCAGCTATATCCTTCTGACAAACCACATCTCTTCTCTTTATTTGTGAAAGAATTGTCCAGCATTCACTGCCATACAAAAGATATATATTTACTAGTATACTGTGCGAATAACATCAGTAACAAAAACTAATAGTAAATACTTTGTAATCACTGGACTTTAAAATTATTAATTTGCATTAATATTCTATTAATTTTCTCCATTTTTCTGGCTTTTTATAAATGCTTTATGATGCATTTAAACTGCAGAAGTTATGAATAAAAACTTTTAAAAATAGTCAAAATTTATAATGAAACTCCACATATGCATCATCATCGTCTCTTATATTCATTGCTTTTATTTTTTTTTTATTTTCTTACATGTTTCATACCATAAATATACAATTGCACCTAATGTGACTTTTTAAAAATAATCTTGAATTTAAGAAAATGTATTAAAATAATGGAGTTTGCTACTAACAAGAAAATGGGAAAAATTGATAGTTATTCAATTGATAATATTAATTGATTGTGTGCACTTCTCTTTTTTTTTTTTTTTTTTTTTTGACGATGATGCACAAGGTCTAAGAAGTAGAAGATTACAGATTAAGAGGCACAGTTTATGAGGGTATGTGGGAAAGATAGTGGTCGACCCAAGATTTGAACAGGCCAAAATTATTGTGATCAGTGAAGCATCCTCTTGAAGCAGTAGTTTGTGAGAAGAACCTGCTTGAGTGGAACTTATATCTCACCACTGGAATATGAATGGAATGAGGGTGGTTCACTACAATGTGTGAAGCATAGTGGGTTTTAGCTGTGAAGGTTAGAACTGGTGGAACTAAGAAATATAGTTCATCTGAACACTTTCCATGGATATAGTGATAGAGCAGTGAGAGGTTTGTGACATTTTGCCTGTGATCAACAACTTTCCTGTTGATTATAGCTTCAAAATGTTTGCTAATGACACTGATGAGGCTGAGATAGGGATGAGTGCTCACTTGCATTCTTGAAAACAGGACATGCACTTAACACCTTCTACAGAATTGGGAAGGATTTCTCTTTCAAGCAGCAGTTAAATAATTTCACTAAGATCGAAAGAACAACTACTGGGATTTTATCTGAACTTAGGGTTAAGAATTTTGATGTTTTGAGACTCAGCTGGGATAAAAATATTACTAAGATTGTGTTCAGTGAGATGGGGGAAGTCAGGAAGGAGATAGCCTTGTTATCTAATGTTGCAAAGATTGTGAATTCATTCTGTTATGATGTTGATTTGGGGTTAGTAGAGACAAATGCCAAATAACACATAACAATAAAAAGGGTTTTAATAGCTTGGTAAAAAGGTACAGAAATCGCCTGAGTAGTCAATAACTAGCTCAGCTAAGAACTTCTCTGTCTATCTGTCTTTTACCATGTCAACTGACATGCCACTATTTAAAGTCTTTGTTCGCAGACAAGTTCATCTTCAAGAGGGGTGGTAGGTTTCCGACACAACACTTTCTTAATTATTCATTAATGTAAATGAAGCGAGTGTTTTTTATGAACAGTTTCAAAGGCATTGTTAAATTAAAAAATTGTTTAAATCCCTCAGGTAGTGGGAGTGGGTTCTTATTTTTGGAATACCAAGCAGAAGCAGATTGCTATATAAGAGAAAGGAGGAAGCAGAAAAAGTTGTAAGAGGAAAAGAGTCAGAAAACCAGGAATTGTATTTAGTTGGATTGGTCAAACTCAAAGTAAACAGAATTCTAATAGTTCTACTACTGGTAAATTGGAAAGGAAGTAATCAAGGCTTAAGGTCACAGGTATCAATTTCCCTCCAGCTCACTTCTCTGGAAGGGGTTGGTTAGTACATGCTCTTCACTCTGATTCATTTTGTTTAAATCACATGCTATTTCGGCAAGATAGCAACAAAAGTAAAATTGGGCACCATTGTTTAAACAACAAAATGGCATTAAACTTTACATTTTTCAATTCTTCAATCATCTCTTTTTAGTTTTTATTTAATAAAATATTGTGACTGAATGAATTTCAAAATGGCACTAAAAATTACAAATAAATTTTTGTAAAGAAAAGTAGATTCTTTTTAACGTCCATTCTGAAAGAAAATGTTTTTTAAGCAAGCACCAATTATCAGTTTTATTGAGTTATTTTTTATAAGATTCCTGATAAATTTTGAGTTCACACTTAATATTGCATACTATAGCATAAGTAAATGTTTTACTAAAAAGGATATTGATGAATACCCAAAATTACCTGCCAAAATTACACACCAGATATCGAAAAGTGAGGGGTGAAACAACTCCAAATAATATTTCCACAAAATTTTCTAATAAAATAACCTATAGGTGAATGAATTGTATAAATTCATTCATTAATAAATAAGTCCTAAAACATTTCGTTTGAATCAGAGAATTTCCTGATTTTTGGCAAATATTTTAAAACTAGGGTAGGAATTTTTTTTCATTTCGGAAAAAAAGCATCCATTTTGATTTTTTGGTGGTACCCAATAACATTAAATGTCCCGATTGTAAAATCTTTATATGTTAAGGCATTAACACGATGCTAAATAAGAAATTGCCAAACTTTTTTTTTAACGGTTGACAACCAGAACAGTCATTACCTTATCCACCAATAAAACACCACTTATATAATTTTAAATTTGATATAATAATTATACCTAAATACGAAACTTCTACAACAAAATTATTCTGTATATTTTGGTTGCCGGTAAGGCGTCGGTAGCCATAGCAACATTTCATCAAAAGCTAAAGATATGATGAAAAAAGTGAGTCTTTTCATATTCTTGTTTTTTTTAAAACAAATTTCTACAAACTGAAAATCTGTAACATCAACTTTGGATGTCAAAATCGAAATATTCTTATTACATTTTTTCGATTTACCTAATTTTTTCGTCATTGTAAAATTGAATTCAGAAAAAGTTTTCCTACTTTCTATATTCAGTTTTTGGTTCGTATACTAAAGTATTAATTAATTTTATAATTTTTAAGCTCACTAGTGTAACTAATTTTCGAACTGCTGTAATCCAACCTTTATTTCTTTTATAAAATTTTCTTCTTTCTAGCGAGATCAATTGGATCATCAATGGCTTATTAATTAACCTGTTTATTGTTGTTTTTAAATCGAGCTTACAAAACCGTGAAAATTGTTTGTTTTGTTTTTGTTTTTTTTTTGGTGGGGGGTGATTAGAATGTTGCTTCTCGTCCTTAAGTTGTTTTTTTTGTTTACTATTTTAAATTTTTCAACCAGACACAAATTATATTCAAGGGAAGTAACTCTTGTCTACAAACATATTCATAATATGGGCACTTCGATGTGAATAAGCATGTTTCGCTTGAGATCATTTACAACTGAATAGCGAGTTCAATCCTCAATAGGTGGTCCATACTCGTGGTCCTGTACCACATAAAAATTACGCTAAATCACTATATATCCAAAAATGTTATCCTCTGTAGACTTTGCAGAAAAAATTACTCAGTTTTTTTTTTATAAAGTAATTTATTTAGTAAGTTATTTTTTTCTGAATAAACGTCCAAAACAAGGATGATGAAAAAGTTCAAATCTAGTCTCATAAATTCAAAATGTAGGAAAAACAAGTAATATAGAAATCAAGAAAGTCCAAAAGGCAAAATAAATAGGGTTAGCGCATTGTAAATTGTATCATTTTTTTGACTAATCAGAAGATCCGTAGTAATTAAGAAATGTAATTTTGTGTTTATAATCGGGCTGTAATTATAAAGTACGGAAGACCAACCAGAATACAATTAAGTTGCGTTATTTCAGTTATGCATTGTTCTCCGCTGTTAAGGCCTTTTACTTTTGTGAAACACGTGTGGAGAAGTTAATTTGATTTTTCAATTTCAACTGATAAGGGTACCTACAAGTATCAGTATCATCTTATGAAATTTATGATCTTATTTTTATAATCTCAGTTAGGACATTTTTCCATAAATGAAATATCAAAATTAATAATAAATAATTAATAATAAAGTGAATGGAGATACAAATAACACAGTAAAATGTAATAAATGCACATAAAATTATAGAATTTTATGTACACTTCTGATAAAATTTCATAAGAAAGGTACCTATGAATTAATTAGATACCTTTTTTATGAAATATGAAATTTAATCTCACTCTTAACAGTCTTATTTTAATTTCTTTATAATATATTTTCCATAAAGCATCGTAAACATAAAGGTGAAAGCTAAGTACAAAAAAAAAAAATTAGAGCGCTGAAAGTTTTCCTTAAAAATAACGAGGTAAATAATTTGTTCACTTAAATCTAAATAACTTCCCTTTTCGGCATCCGTAGAACAAATTATGATCACGTAAATCCGTCAATATGTCATTCATTACCTGTCAAGTGATGCTTTGTTTTATTTTCAAATTACATCTTTTCGGCGCAGAAGCTAAGTCAACCTTGGTTCAAAATATTTTAAATAAACTTTAAATAATTTCTGATTTTCTTAAAATAAGTTTTGAAAAAATGATAATTGATTTTTAAAAGAATTTCAAAGTGAGATTTTTATCTTTTTTATAAAATGGAAAAAAATGGATGCCATAATTGATTATCTGTCAATTTTGCTGACTCAAAAAAACAAGATTTTTAACAAAAATTTCGGACATGCTCGGAACGATTAAAAAATGTAAAACAATACCCCCAAAATACTTTGATCTTTCCTCTTAATAATAACATGAACATTTAGATGATAAAATTTTGTTTTTGTCAAGTTTGTCGTCTTTTTCATCATGCTATGCATTTTTTAGCAATCTCACGGAGGTACCTATGAAAAAATGGTCAGTTCCCTGTACCACTCCAGTAAGTACCTGCCTTCTCCTGCTATCCCCTACATTTACAAAAGTCAGATCAGACCGAAAATGGAGTACTGCTGCATATGGGCAAGAGCTTTCCAGTTTTTATAGTTCAAAAATGTCTTCATATTCTTGTGGGTGACAAATTATTTTCCAATCTGCAATTCCTTTCTCACAGACGAAACATCACAATTCTCTCTCTGCTCTATCACTATTTCCATGAAAAGTGTTCAGATGAATTACATGCCTTAGTTCCACCAGTTCTAACCTTCATGGCTAAAACCTGCAAAGCCACTCACATTGTAGTGAACGTTCATATTCCATTGGTGAGATGTAAGATGTTTCCCTGATCATGACAATCTTAACCTGTTCAAGTCTAAGGTCAACTGTTATCTTCCTGACAACTACTTACTATGTAACCTTCTACCTAGCATGGCTCTTTGTACAGGGGAACATCATTGTAAAAAAAAAAAAAGAAAATTAACAAGATATGATTGTAGATGAACTTTAGATAATTTATGCAAATTAACAAAGAAATATTTTTCTGTTTTTATTGTAGTAGGGTTACAAATCAGATAGAAATATACTAGCATTTTTATAGTTGATTAAAAAAACTAAGTAAAAGTACAAATAATAAAATTGCATCTGTTTGATTTTTTAATTGCTGTATTGCAACTGAAAAGAGGAATATTGTCACATTAGAAGCATCTATAAAATGTTCTCTTAGATGCATATGAATAAATGGAATTACAAATAAACATTAAAGCCTTTATTTTTTATTCAATCATGTCATTAAAAATTTTGAACATTTTTAATAATTTATAATGGATATGTATAAGAGAACTTCATTTGCAAAAATGGTAATATATGTTGCAGGAGTGTGATTGTTTGATAAACACATCTGTTATTTCATTCAATGTTGGTAAAAAAAAAATGATTTAAGTTATGAAAAAGTAGAGCTTACATAAGTCTTTCACATTTTCAGGCCAAATAATCTATTTATGTTGCTACAAGAAACATCAGAAGTGCTCTTGCATTTACTGCTGGTAGTAATGACAGACACATCACTGTAAGTGAAGAATAGAAGTAAACAAAACTTCAAACAATATCAGCTACCAAGCTTCTGTTCTTCTGACAGAGCTAGGAGAATGCTCTTTCACTCAGAAAAATGCCAGTTTTAAGTATACTTGGTCTCAAAGCTGTGATTGACCAACAACCAAGCATTACTCTCTCCATGCCAATAAGTGTCACAATCTCTATGTAAATCTTAGCAATTGCACCATCTGTATTAACGATGGTCATTTGCTTCTGGTACTCCTTCACAGGGTGGCTTGTGAGTTTCAGCCACTGCTACCTCTGGATGAACTTCAGTATCACTTTCAGTGTCTCTAAATGGGTGCCCCATACACCCATATCCAGATCAAGTGTGCTATCACTTGTAGATGACACATCATAATGTTGTTCATTGGATTCACATTGTACCAGTAAACAACCTCCTGGACTTCAGTGACATCTCTCCACTATTGCATTCCCTTCAGGAGCATAGGCATATAGAAAGCACAGATGAATTCCCTAATCTTCCACAAAAGCCCCAGGTGTTTCACTACAGAATGCAGTGTCTGAGACCTCAATCTTTTGTAGTAACAAATTTACATCCTGCTTGAGGGAGAAGCTGGCACTGACATCTCTTCTCATTTTTCCAGACAGTCACATGAGATGTTACCTAGTCTGCCACAATGAAAGCATTGTCCTTTCTTGCATGGTCCTCATGGCTGACACCTGAGTAACTCTTCTGTTTCAGGCAGTCCCTGGCCAAGTGGTCCATTTTTAGCATACAATGTCATTGTATGAATCCACATGAGAAAAACCTACTTTTGCTTGCATCATCCATGCCACTGTCAACACTGGATCCACATCCATGTCCTCCTTTTAAATTGTCCATGCTCTGTCCTACAGCTGGTTAATGGCCAGTGCATCCAACTTGTACATGAAGTGGAATGATCATACTGATCCTACTACTACAGGTCTACTGCTAGGAAAGTTGGTTCACTGGGTTGTGTTAGACAATTTTTCTCAACAAGATTTATAAGTCCATGCAATGAATTATGGTGCAACATCTGGTCTTGTGCTTCTGTTGTGTTTCTAGAGATTCTTGACAAAATCCAAAGAAGAATCTGCAATGTTAATGATTCTGACTTTGCATCACAGCTTCAGTCACTCTCCTCCTCGCCTTTTCTCTAAATATTTCCATGGTCATTTTTCTGATGAACTTTTATCTTTGATACCTTGACTTTATGAATTTAAGTGCATTACTGGATTGTTGATGTGACTTTCAAATTGAATAGCTAGCATTTGTCCCTGCAGGTCAATACTGGCAATCCTTAGCATAATGATTAGGCAGTGCATCTGTAGTAGCTGATTTTGGTAAGAGGCACAGTGAATCTGTTTCAATTGGGAGAGTGGATACTGTGATTGGTTCTTCAGCTGTCATTTCATCTTCCATAAGCACATGGGCCTTAGCCAGTAGTTGGTTTACATTCATCTCATCCATTCTCAAAGATGCTTGCAGTGTTTGTTTCACATAGTTTGGCAGTCTCAACATAAAAGCACATGTCAGACCCTGCTCTGATATTCTCCCAAACAGCAAAGCATGTTTCATAAGTCTGCAAGATATATATTGACAGACTCTCCAGAGTGCAGATGATGATAAACTGTTTAGTAGAAAATATTTACCTGAAAAGGCACAATGAGTCACTCTCCTGAAAGTTAGCATCAGCCATGCTGATGGAAGACAAATAGCAGAAGATTTTTTACATAAACTCACTGACCTCATTCAGTGGTGAAGCATTTTTCTTTCTCTTTTCTTTTTTGCAAAAGCAGCATGCAACGTGAAAGTGTTTTGGCCTTCAGGTTATGTCATCATTTTCTTCTGTACAGGGCTGCTAAGTAAA